GGTTTATTGTTGCAGGTTTATTGTTGCTTAATATAATTGTTATTTTCAACTATTCTTTTTTACTTGTTTCAGGGATTTCAAATCATTTTATATAGTAGACAATGGAAGTCCGAACTAGTGAAATTCATCACGAAACATTGTCAATCACCTTCAAACAAGATCCATAGTAATTTCAAAAACTACACCTCACGATTTGATATCCACAAACTTTGTGAATATAAAATCGTAAGGTGTAGTTTTTGGAATTCTAGTTCATTAATAAGAGTAAATCGTAGTAGCATCAAGCAGATTGATGTTGCTTGCTTTCTGGGAGTTATGCTGGATAATAAAATCACATGGAAAAATCATATAAACTACACAACCACCAAGCTGTTTTGTAATGAGGCAACTGAAAAATACTGTATCAACTGAAACCCTGAAACTGGCATACTATGGATTGGTTCAATCAACACTTAATTACGTCTTAATGTTCTGGCCATAATAGATAAGTACTATTTTGATCATTCCCATATTGATTTAAATTTAAGAGCCACCGGTAGACAGCTGTTTCAGCCTATTGGGTATCGTCAGTACCAGGCAGGCGGTCCTCGATTGAAGACAAAATGTGACGACGTGATCCATCTTGAGTTTATTCAGGTTGAAGCCTGGCTCCCTTCCCCTTTTAACTGGTAGACAAAATGTGAAAAACCAAGAAAAGTACTTGACAGAAATAACTGCACAAGCGAAACATAAGTGGAACCACCTATTGGTGTGACACCCAAGTCAACTTGCTAAGTTTTTTTATGTCAGTGTTGGTGGATTGACCAATTAACCGACAACTGGAATTATTTTCCAGCAGCTTGACTGCATTAACCTTTGTCGATTTTAATTCCATTCTTAAAAACAGTAGGTTACACAAGTATGATACAAAAATATGTGTTAAACAACATCAACCATACTCAAGATTAACTATTGAGCAAAACTTTTGTAATAACTTGAGTGACGAATAAAGTTCAATTCTATTCCATTCTATACCTACACTGCTCACTCTTTGGAGTGGTGTATTCCTAGTGTTTTCATTAAAAGATTTATAATTTATTGTGTGAAAGCTATTTACTGGGATTTTTGGCACTGGTCTGCAGGCTGGTATTTGGCTCTGGTTTTATATTATTATTAGTGGGTGTGGCTTGGTTTCTCTTAATTGGATAACCTGACCTATATTTTCGAATTAGATAATGTGAGTGCCTTCTTTGTTGAGAGCATGTTTGGCTATCTACGATTTAGACGCTCTTGTTCTATCATCATATCCATCAAAACAACTTCAATTTTGGTGTCATATAGTTATTATGTGAATATCTAATGCAGTTGTTTTATTAATTAGTGCAAGAATTTTTTCAAGAAAAACATTGTTTAACAATATGAATAATTCTGTCCTCGCTTCTAAAGGTTTTTGATTGAAAATAATGTGAAATACAAAAATTTTAAAAAAATCATCACAATCGGAGTTTGCTCTGAAGACTTCTGCAGATTGCCTTTTACATATTCCTTGACGCTACTATATGTAAATAATTGCATGTAAATATCTTAATGACATTTCTACCACAGTATTGCTTGCAATATTCTTAAAACTGATAGCTATCAGTTTTTAATGAATCAATTTCACGTTCTTTCTTCACGCAGATGATGACGATTGCTTTACCGCTCCCAGTGATAGCATGGATTTCATGTCCAAATCTGATGATGCTGACCATGATATTATACACAACCAGCAACTGATGGAGCCACTTGTCGAAATTAAAACGGAAATACCAGAAAAACCTCCCGTCAAACCGGATGTAAGCGACACTAGTAACTTCTTCGAGAACATAGGGTTATTCGAAAACACATCTGCCATCGCCAAAATAGGAGAATGTACAATTTCGGTGGCAACAACCAGCGGCACCGGATGCCCAAAGTGAGAGTGAAATCGCAATTATTTTATATTGAAAGAAAATAATCTTTGTTTTATTGAATGTGATCGTTATTTCTAGAATTGAAATATTGACACAGCATTTTTTGAATACATTTTTGTTGGTGATTAGCTATTTACATTTGATATGTAAGTTGGGCATGTTCAATCGGTATATTTTTCTCACCTTATTAGCGATATCAGTATTGTTTAAAATTTAAAATATTTGTAGGTTAGTGGAGGTAGCACGACATTCATCTCTACACAATTTAAAATAAATCGTGACTGTAAATATTTTCAGATTTTCAAATATATAATAAAGTAACTATTTTAAGACAGTTTTTGTTTTGAATTTCCCCGCTTCATTAACACCAGCTGAAGGTATTGATGAAATTTCTGGAAGACCGCTGAGATATGTCAGAGAATATATAAAAGAGCCCCTAGCATATTTAATCAATGAAACATTCGTTACAGGTCAATACCCAACAAATTTGAAAGCTCCAAAATCAGTACCGATATATAAAAATAAAGGATCCACACATGAAGTTAACAATTATAGAAACATCTGCTTACAAAGTCAGCTTTAAAAGATTCTCGACTTTGCTTTCAATTGCCGCCTCAACAAATTTCTAGAACACCATAATCTAATGTTGAACTATCAACACGAATTTAGACAAAATAAATCAACAGCAGTAGCAGAGCTTTGTGAAAACATTTAAGCAACAAACCAAACACAATAGCTTTATACTTCAACTTGAGCAGAACATTTCATACTGTGAGATGATTCTTTCATAGAAAAATTATATCGAACAGGGGTTTGAGCTGTTGCAAATTATTGGATTACAGCATATTCAAAAGATAGAAAACAGATTTTAGTATTGAATAATAATAAATCAAAAGAAAGAACAATTATTATGGGTGTCCCATAGGGTTCTATAATGGCCCCAGTATTTTTCATAATCTTGATGAATGATATGATTAATTCATTTCCGAGTGTGCAAAATATAATTATGTATGCTGACGAAAGAGTTCTGATGGAGTTGACATTAGTGAATTCTCTTGTGGTCCTGCACACAAAGCCCAGCATTTTTGTCGCACTATTCACAACCTGTTCATAGTGAAGATGGAAATCAACCTTGGTGTCAAAAAGAACACCTAGGTCCCGAACAATGTTTGCTTTTGTGAGGGGTTTGCCATCAATGTTATAATCAAATTCAATATGTTCAATTGATCGATAAAATGACATAGCATTGCATTTATTTACATTCAGCTCCATGTAGTTTTCGGAGCACCATTTGACAATTGCGGTGAGGTCCCTTTGAACGTTCTCACAATGTTGTTTGCTGATGACACGGCTAAAGATTTTGAGATCGTCTGCAAACAGCAAAAACTTTGAATGTTTGATTATTTCTTCAATATCATTGATGAATATATTGAACAAGAAAGGGCCTAAGTGGCTTCCTTGTGGCACTCCTGACGTGACGTAAATCTCCTCAGATATGAAACTCTTGACTTTTACATATTGATTTCTATCTCGAAGATAGCTTGCAAACCAATTCAATAAATCTCCGTAAAACCCTATCGCTTTAAGTTTCCCGAGCAATACTGTATGATTAACTGTGTCGAATGCCTTTGAAAAGTCTGTATAGATTACGTCCACTTGGTACTTTTGTTCCAAGGCATTCAGCACAAATTGAGTTAACGTTAACAAATTTGTGGTTGTTGATTTACCCAGGCAAAAACCGTGTTGTTCTTGTATAATGACTTGGTTCAATGGATTCTTTATTTGATCACATATCAAACTCTCTAATAATTTTGGGATTGCACTTAGAATTGTGATCGGTCTATAATTTTTTATATTTGCTTTATCCCCCGACTTGAATATTGGGGTAATAAAACTAGATTTCCACGAGCGTGGAAATTGTCCTAAATTCAGTGATGCAGTAAATAGTAGAAACAAAGGTTTTGCCAAGGTAAATCTACATTTCTTTAATAATAAAG